CCTTCCGCTGGCGGCGGCTCCTGCGCCGCGCCGCGCCGCCGCCCCTTTATAGCCTCGGCCCGACGCGATGAGCTCACCGGCCCCGCTCCCCATTGGGTCCGGGTGACGTCTATATTTGCATATAGAGGCGGGGCCGGACCCTCCACGCCTGCGCGGCCCCTGTTGCCTGAGTAACGTGCGGTAAACGACACAACAGCGCGCTGCCTTGTGGGTTGACGTCATTGGGGCCCGGGCCCGCCCACCCCCGTCCGGGGAGCGCGGAGTGGGGCCCGCGCGCCCCCCTCGCGTCGCCTCCCTCCCTCCCTCCCTCCGGCCTCGCTGCCCCGGACCCCACCCTCCGCGCGGCCACGCCCACCGCGCGGCCACGCCCCGCGCGGGCCGAGAGGGCGGGGCCCCGCGCATAAATGGGGCCCCGCGCCGGCCCCGCGGTCCTCGCCCCGCCTCCCCTTCGCGGCCCCGCGCCGGCCCCGCGGTCCTCGCCCCGCCTCCCCTTCGCGGCCCCGCGGTCCTCGCCCCGCCTCCCCTTCGCGGCCCCGCGCCGGTCCCGCGGTCCTCCCCCCGCCTTCCCTTTGCGGCCCCGCGGTCCTCGCCCCGCCTCCCCTTCGCGGCCCCGCGCCGGCCCCACCGACCTCCCCCCGCCTCCCCTTCGCGGCCCCGCGCCGGCCCACGGCCCCGGGCCCGCCCCGCAGAAGTTACAGGAAGTTGGCTTCCGGCCTTTACAGAGGGGAAACTGAGGCTTGGCCCGCTGCCGGCCGTCCACCCGCGAGCGAGCGCCGACCCCGGGGCCTGGCCTGCGGGGGGGGGCCCGGAAAGGCTGACAGGTCCACGCCCGGGGCGTCCGCACCCACGGGTGACCACACACGGGTGACAGACACACACGGATGACCACACACACACAGGTGCCCTCACGTGGGTGACAGATAGTGACCACCCCCCCACACACACGGGTGCACACACACACGGGTGCACACGCACACACACGGGTGCACACACACGGGTGCACACACACACGCACACACACACGCGCACACACACGGGTGCACACACACACGCACACACACGGGTGCACACACACGCACACACACACGGGTGCACACACACGCACACACACACGGGTGCACACACACGCACACGGGTGCACACACGGGTGCACACACACGGGTGCACACACACACGGGTGCACACACACGGGTGCACACACACACGGGTGCACGCACACACACGGGTGCACACACACGCACACGGGTGCACACGCACGCGCACACACGGGTGCACACGCACGCGCACACACGGGTGCACGCACGCACACACACGGGTGCACACGCACGCACACACACGGGTGCACACGCACGCACACACGGGTGCACACGCACGCACACACGGGTGCACGCACATGCACGCACGCACACACACACACGGGTGCACACACACGCACACGGGTGCCCCGGGAGCCCGCCCCAGTCTTCATTCCCATCCTAGCCAGAGTCTTCCAGGCTGTCGGGGTGACCGGTCCCGCCAGGCCCCCTGGACAGCCAGCCCCACCGGCCCCATGCTGGGCCAGGCCAGGCCTGAAGGGCGGTGGGCCGCAGGGGTCCCAGCCCTGTCTGAGCAGCCATGGATGCGGGGAAGGTGGGCAGCCCCGCACCCCAGGACATCCGCGTCACAGGGGACTCCTGACACCCAGCAAGGCACCGGTGAGTTCCGGGTTGTTCTGTAGGGACTGAGGTTTCCGGTTCTCTCAGCCCCAGCCCGTGCCTTAGGCAGAGAGCATTTGGGTAAACTCCTATTCATCCTTCAAAATTCACCATGCTAGCCTGTGCTGCTGGCTCACGCCTGTCATCCCAGGAGGCTGAGATCTGAGGATTGTGGTTCAAAGCCAGCCCGGGCAGGAAAGTCCGTGAGACTCCTATCTCCAATAAACCACCAGAAAACCGGAAATGGCGCTGTGGCTCCAGTGGTAGAGCGCTTGCCTTGCGCTGAAGAGCTGAGGGACAGAGCCCAGGCCCAGAGTTCAAGCCCTGGGACCCATTGAAAAAAAAAAAAATCCACCGCACAGCCTCCTCCTAGACCCTGCCCCAGAGGGGTCCCCAGAGGGGAGCAGCCACCCCTCCCAGGGCTCCTCTGCCTCCCTGGGTCAGGGCCTGAGCCCCCGACCCGAGGCCTGGGCCAGGTGGGAGGCAGGACCCCCCTCCACCAGGGTGAGAGGGCCCGGCGGGGCAGAGTCAGTTTCCCAGGTTAAAAGCCAAGGCCAGAGGCCAGGAGGGAGGGCCCCCCCCACCAAGGCCTCCACTTTCTGGCTTAAAGCAACCCGCGCCTCCCAGGGTCTTGGCAGACACCGGGAATCCCACACAGAGAGAGGGAAGAGGGGTTAACGGAGGGGCGCGAGGGGCCCAGGGCAGCCCCAGGTGCAGACCCGTGCTGGGAGCCGCATTCCTGGGGATCAGGTTACAGTGAAGCCCCCCCCCCCCGCGGGCCTGCCCAGCCGGGGACCCAGGCCCTGGCTCCTCTCCAGTGGGGACCATGGGCCTGGCTGGGGATGTGTGAGGTTCACGGGTGGACTGACTGAGGGGGGACAAAGCGGCAGGGGCGAGGGGGGCAGGCTGGGGGGCCTACGCAGAGGGGCGCCTGGCCGCCCGCTGGGCATCTGTGAGGAGCTGGGCACAGACCTCAGTCACCCTGTCTTCTGGGACTCGCCTGTCACCCAGGACAGAACCACGCCCTAAAGCCACACACCACGGGGACCACCCGAAACCTCCAAAGGACAGAACCTGACCTGTGCCCTCCTGGGAGCCCGGGGTGGGGGGGCTAGGCCTGTACCTCACCAGGATGTGTCTGTGTCTGGGGGGTCACTGAGCCAGCCAGGCCCTGGAGGCCAGCCCAGACCCAAGGACCGGTCCCAGGCCCCCACTGCGCCCAGGTGAGGCCCTGGTTCCAGACCCAGCCCCGCCCCTGTGGCTGCTAGGGGAAATGTCCCCACCTGGGCCTGGGGCCTGGGCCGGCCCCACCCCAGGCTGCTGGCCTGGCTTCCTTCCTGCCCCAGTGAAGGAATGAATGACTTCCTGAACCTGTGAAGGAATGAATGCATTGGCCAGCACGGAACAACCTGCTCCTTCAGGCGAAGTCCACCCCCTCTAGGTATTTTATCCTTGGAGGGGAGTGGGAGGGGCCTGCCAGACAGAGAAACTGAGGCTGGGGCCTCTCTTCAGCGGGAGCCCTGTGGGTTCAGTGGCCCCAGAGTGGGCCCGGGTCCCACGGTAGAGAAGAAGGGGGCCTGGCCTGAGTATGGACTTAGAGACACCCCACAAACAAATGGGGCAGGGTGCACTGCTGAGGGGGAGGAGCGGGACTCTGAGGTCTGAGTGGTGGCTCAGAGCCAGCCCGGGGAGGAAGGTGTTTGAGACTCCCATCTCCAGTGAACCAACAAAATGCCACAAGTGGTGCTATGGCTCATGTGGTAGAGCACCAGCGTTGAGCAAAAGGGCTCAGGGACAGTGCCCAGGCCCCAGGTTCAAGCCCCACAACCAGCACACACAGACCCAACACAGACACACACAGAGACACACATACAAACAACACATGCACACACAAAGACACAGAGACACACAACACAGACACACTCACAGACACACATACAGACAACACCGGCACACACACAGACACACAGATACATGCACAGACACACAACACAGACAACAGACAACATAGATACACAGACACAAACAACACAGACACACAGACACAACACACACAACAGAGACACACACAGACAACACACAGAGACACACACAGACACACAACACAGAGACAACACAGACACACATAGACACACAGACAACAGACACACAGATACAACAGAGACACACACACACACACACACACAGGGGCCCAGCGATCTGGGGCCCCAGGACACAGGCTGCCCACACCCCAGCAGAGGGGCGGGGAGGAAGTGGGGGAAGGGGACTGCTGCTCCTGGGGCCCGGCCCGGTGGTGTGCCCGGTGGTGTGCCCGGGCTGGGCCCCACCCGGGCTGGGCTGGGGCTGCTCTAGGGTTTGCTGGCCCAGGCAGGGTGGGGCTGGGGAAGGGATGCTGTGGGGGAGACTGAGGCAGGGCAGGGCTGTGGAGCTGAGTGGACTGGGAATCACATGGGGGGCTTGGCTGATGTTTATGTGGGGTGCACGAAGCCCCCCTAAAACGCTGGCACCATGGGGAGCCTAGACCAGTGGGACTTGGTTTCCCCAGCCTTGGGGACTCCCCTCCCCCCTCCTCCCACCCCTGGCCTGGGACCTCCCCTGCCCCCAGCCTGGCCTGGGGGAAGGGCAGCCTGATTAACCCCTTCCCTGCCAGCCTACACCCCCAAGCCGGGGCCCTGGGCCCCCCCCCTCAGAAGCTGTACCCTGCCCTGCCCTGGGGGCTGTGGGTCACCCGAGGTCCCCACCACTGGTCCCCACAGCTCTGGGTCAAGCTGAAGAGCTCAGGATTGGGCCCTGCCATCAGTCTTCCACCTTACTCCTAGATCTGGTCATGGTGGGGTAAACTGAGTCACCTAGAGACAGGCAAGGGCTGGAGTGTATGGCA